CTGCGATCCCAGCTGCGCTTCCTTTTTCGCCTGGGGTATCTGCTTTGCCCCTACTTAGCAGCCACGTGCTTGCGCCGGGACCCTGTCCACTGATAGCCGTCTCCAGATCACCAGCGCGGGCAGCCCATCCTTTTACTGGAACGCGCCTGGCAATCAAGAGGACCGGGCCTAAAGGAGCGGCTACCCCACGGGCCCTGGCGATCCCCAAACGGGCAGGCCCTATGGCCAAGGTGCTAACCCCTGCTCCGTCCCAGATAGTCCCGGAGCCGCCTGATCCATCCCTGGCAGCTCCCGCCTCTGTGTCCTCTGTTCCTGACCCAGCATCAGCTCCCTGGACTCGAGGCCCAATCCCTGAAGAGGTCCCCGACTCTGTGCCCATCGCTCCTCCTCCCGTATTGGATGGGGAGGAAGAGCTCGAATGGGACCCCGCGGGGACCTGCCTCATGGCCCAGACAGCCTCCTCCCAGAGGAAGACCATTCCGCTGCCACCCCAGAAGGGGCGATCCCGGCAGGTCTCCCATCTCTCAATGTCCTGGAAGGGGAGAGGACACAGGCGCAGGGAACGAGGCTCTCCTGCAGTCCCTCAGGCTCCCGCTCGGTTGCCGCCTGCAGGTCCCTCCACTCCGGCTCGTAGGGGGAAGACGCCTCCGCCTGCTTCAGCTACGCCATCGACTGCTGCAGCTACCCCTCCCTCCTTGCCGGCACGGTCGTCTCTTCCGGCTACCTCCTTGCTGCCTCCACCTGTCCCTCAGGTCGTCTCCTTACCCTCCTCATGGGTTCCCCCTGCTCCTGTCTCCCTGTCACCTGGAGTCCCTCCAACATCCACCTTCCGGTTACCTGCGGCCCCTTCAGCTGACACCCGTTGCCTGCTGAGGATTCCTATGACTCCCCTGGGTCTGCTGGCCTGGATACATCCTCCCTGTGGGGTCCCTCCTGTCTCTGTTCCTCGTCCCTTAGTGTCTCCTCCGTTCCCTCCCGGTCCCATTGTTCCTCCTGTCTCTGCTCCTCGTTCCTCTTTGTCTCCTCCGTTCCATCCTGGTCCCTTTGTCCCTCCAGTCTTTGCTCCTCGTCCCTCAGTGTCGCCTGTGTTTGCTCCTCGTCCCTGTGTTCCTCCTCTGTTCACCCCTGGCCCCTTCGTGTCACCTGTGGGTGTTCCTTCTGTGCCCTCTGTGTCTCCCTTCTCTGTCTGCCTGTCCGCGTTTCCTGTTCTTTGTCATGTCTTGTCCTTCTTCTAGTCCCTGTTTCTGTTTTGTGTCTCGGTCCTGTTTCCCTGGTCTCGTTAATGGTTTTGTTCTTGTTTTCCAGGTCCTGTTTCCCCGGTTTCGTCTCGTCCGTCGCCTCCCCTCGAGCGCGCCCCGGGGGCGGCGTCGGGGGGGGGGGGGGGGGGGGGGGGGGG